CCGCAGTTGGCCCACGGGCCAGAGTTTGGACCCCCTGGTTTAAAGGATTAAATTCAGCGTCTCTCTGCCGTTCTCTTTACCACTACACTCTCTGTCTCCGCAGTGTCTTATTCTAAGTGGGCAAGGAACGAGACATGTTCACTTACCTGTGTGTGAGAGAACTCCCTCAGTGTCCGTGTAGCACTGGTGTAGCACAAGTAGTGGCCTTGTGTTACACACCGGCCCGAAGCCGGGGTGCAACACAACAAAAAGATAAACCCGATACATAATAACGACAAAAAAAAATCACACCACGGCAGAATGACGAGAGTTGGTTAATTTATTTGCTGAACAGATAGCGAGCTTCAGGGTGGGCGATGCCAAAACAACAAATAAAACACACTAGAAAGAAAAACAGAGCTAACTTACCTCCCACGATTCCAAAACAAAATACAATTCTCTAACCTGTCTCCCTACCCGAAACAGGAGAAAAGAGGGGAATAAAAGAAAACGGCTTCCCACCCCTACAGCTACCAGGCCCAGGTACAACCCTTTTTCAACATTGATATTGCAGCCCCGTGCAGTCACACACCACGACGGTCCCCAGACACACAGCTCACGGGAAACCAGGAAGTCTCCTCGCCGGCCCAGTCCAGGCCCTTTTGTAGCTGGCCTCTTTCCTTCCTCCACCAATGGGTGGCCTCCACCTGGAAACAAGCATCACTGAATACAAATACAAACAATAACAACACCGTACCGCAAATAATGACCCTGGGTCATAACACCCCCCCACCTAAAATCAAGCATCTCATTAGAGAGATGCTAGACCTAGTATCAAAACATTAAAACAAACAAACAAATCGAACACTTCCTAGGGGGAAACCAGACTCATCAGTCACTGTCTGCGTCATCACTGATGATCCCCTGCAGGTTGTCCCATTCGGACATTTTCCTGCGACCTCTGTGGATATTGTTTTCCCGATCACTGTCTGATCCTGAGTTTAGAGTGCGCTGATATCCAGAGGACGGACAGTCCTGCTGTTTCTGACTTGCTGAGGTACCCCTGCGTGTAGGTCGACCTTGTGTGGTAATGATGTTGTTGACATCAAGAGCAGCCAGTTCATGAGCTTGCTCTCTCTTCATTCTGACCTTTTTACATTTCTGAATAGTTGGCTGACCATGTACACCAAGCTCTTCAAGCTCCTTCTTCAGAACAGCCACCTGGGAGCGGCAGTCCTCCAGCAGCTTCTTGTAATTTCTCCTCATGCCGCAGAGGGCAATGTAACGTTCAAGCTCCTTCTTCAGAACAGCCCCCTGGGAGCGGATGGAGCGGCAGTCCTCCAGCAGTTTCTTGTAATTTCTCCTCACGCCGCAGAGGGCAATGTAACGTTTAAGCCTCGCCACCGATTTGTCATCAGACTTTGGTTTTCTGGTGCTCTCATCTTTCTTCACACTCTTCTTCATCTTCTTTTTATCCTTTGATTTATCAGTCTTATTTTCTTTTTCATCTTCCAAAGAAGGTAGTGATGAATCCGAGTCTGGGTCACTGGTTTTCTTTTCCACTTTTGTATCTTCTTTTTCACTGTCAGAAGACTCGTCACTCTTAATTTTGTCACTTGTTTCTGACTTGGAGTCTCCATCTGATTCATTTCCTGCATCACTCAGTGGTGTTCTCCTTCCTTCATCTTTACTGCTGGTTACTGTCTCGACGTTCATTCTCACCATTTTCTTTGGACTGTCACTGCAGTTGCTTTCCTCACTGAGTTCCTCATCAGAAGACTCGTCACTGTCAATTTGACGATTTTCATTTCTCTTTTGTTGTGATTTTTTCACCTCTGGCTCTTCACCATCAGCTTGAGATTTGGCATTTTCTTCATCATTGCTGCTTTCTTCACTTTCTGTTTTGTTGTCCTCTTGAGCCTCAGATTCTGATGATGAGCTTGAATGATTATTTTGTGATTTCTTTGCCCTGGATTCATCTTCACTCTCACTCATGACCTCGTCATTTCCATTTTCTCTTTTCCTTTTGTTCTGGAGCTTCTTAGTCTCTGAGTCACTTTCACTTTCATCATTATCGTGCATTTTCATCAGTTCCTCTTGCACCACCTGTTCCATGAAAGTTTTTACTTCTGGACTTAATGAGTCACATTTGTTGTGTGCCTGATATCTCTTTTTTAAAATTCCCAAGATCAGCGTGCTCAGGTCTGCCTCGTCACGGAGTTGACCACACACAAACCTGCGGATACCTGCTGCCTCCTTCTCCGACACCATACTAAAAACCTTCGCCATCCCACCATCTACCCCCGGAACAGAACTATCATGCGGCTCAGAGCCGTCCGGAAACATTTCGGATATGTCCACCTCACCACCCAAGCGACGAGCTTGAGCACGAGTAACCACACATGCCGGAAAAACTCTGGGGTCACCCAGCTCCGACGGGAATTGGCATAACCGATCCGAAGTAGGACACTCAATAACTTCCGGCATAGCCGGAAACACTTTTCCCCCGGCCAAGTCATTTCCCAAAACAAGATCAATGCCTTCAATTGGCAGCTGATCTCGAACCCCCACACGCACAGCGCCCGAGATGAAGGACGAGGTCAAAGTAACCGTATGGAGTGGCATGCGTAACATGCTCACCTTGATACCCCACACCAGCAAATCAGAACCACAGTACGACTGCTGAGAGAAAGACACGACACCACGTCGCGCCACCGAATGCTTCGCCCCTGTATCCCTCAAGATGATGATCGGAACCCGGTCCCCCGCATCACCAGACAACGATAAAAACCCCGTCGAAACAAACGGTCGAAACACCTCATCTATCTCCCGTGGAATGACGCCAACCGGCATTAAGCTAGGGCGGGTTACCGCGGAGCAACACTGCACGGCCCCCCCCGAAATGTTGGTCCGTGCCCCCTCCCTCGCTCTCAGCACGGGACAAGAAGCAACGAGATGACCGAGCTCATGACAAAAAAACATCGGCGGTCCCCAGCGGACACCGTAGGGCTACGCCGCGAGAGTGGGGGAGAACGCCCCCCCACCTCCGGCAAAACTCTAGAACCCCGACGTAACGGAGGGGAAAAACCCCTCTTGTTCGTCAAAGCAAACTCATCTGCCAGAACCGCCGCTCAACTCCCTCAACTGTGCAAACTCCTTAACCTCACTAGCCTGGCACCACCGATCAAAGAGCAAACCCTTCTCGTGCGCAAACTCCACATAAGTCTGATCCCCCCCCCCCCTCACACACTGCCGAAACTTCTGACGGTACGCTACACACACACACACACACACACACACACACACACACACACACACACACAAGCACGCAATACGGCAGCCTTAACCACACCATAATCTAAGCTCTCAGATGCCGACAGGCTAGCCCACACCTCCTGAGCCCTACCCACCAGCCGACACTGCAACAGCAAAACCCAGACCTCCTCCGGCCACTTTAACGCGGCAGCCACACGCTCAAAAGCAGGAAAAAACGACTCCACCTCCGATTCACAAAAGGGCGGCACCAATTTAATGTGCCTCCCAATATCAAAATCCTGACGGAGAGCCGGGGCGGGACCAGGCGCCGGCGGCGCAGGGAGCACAGAGGGCGCAGGCGTGGGCGGCGTAGAGTCAGGGGCACGCGGCGGAGGCCCGCGCTCCAACTCCAACGCCCTCACCCTCAGATGCATCGCTTCCACCTCCAACCGGTGACTACTCAACTCCACCTCCTTAATGCGGAGCAACAACTGGAGCTCCTCCGCCGACAACCCCACCACCGGAGCAGGAGGAGCCACAGAGGGGGCGGCCACAGGAGGAACAGACAACGGAGCCAACGGCTCCATAGCCGCCCCGCCCGTCCCACCAACAAGCGGCACGCTCGACAGCAAACCCCGTTCGCTCAAAGCCACCGTGACAAGCTGTCGCAAATCATCCTTCTTCACCCCCGCCGGCGCTCGCACATCAAAACGGCCCGCAATAAGCAGCAAATCCTCCCTCCGACACCGACTCAACTGCTGCAAGGAAGGCGCCTCGGCAAACTTATCCACATCAAACTCCATCCGCGGCCACCCACACAAACAACCCCCAAAAACACAAAAAATAACCCCACACACCCACACGAACCCCACTACACACAACGACCCCGAAATCCCGGACGAGCCCCCATTTATGTTACACACCGGCCCAAGGCCGGGGTGCAACACAACAAAAAGATAAACCCGATACATAATAACGACAACATAAATCACACCACGGCAGATTGACGAGAGTTGGTTAATTTATTTGCTGAACAGATAGCGAGCTTCAGGGTGGGCGATGCCAAAACAACAAATAAAACACACTAGAAAGAAAAACAGAGCTAACTTACCTCCCACGATTCCAAAACAAAATACAATTCTCTAACCTGTCTCCCTACCCGAAACAGGAGAAAAGAGGGGAATAAAAGAAAACGGCTTCCCACCCCTACAGCTACCAAGCCCAGGTACAACCCTTTTTCAGCATTGATATTGCAGCCCCGTGCAGTCACACACCACGACGGTCCCCAGACACACAGCTCACGGGAAACCAGGAAGTCTCCTCGCCGGCCCAGTCCCCAGGCCCTTTTGTAGCTGGCCTCTTTCCTTCCTCCACCAATGGGTGGCCTCCACCTGGAAACAAGCATCATTGAATACAAATACAAACAATAACAACACCGTACCGCAAATAATGACCCTGGGTCATAACACCTTGTTAGACCTGCTAGTGCTACTTCGTGCCTTCTTTGCATGTGGTATAGGCAGTGTAGTTACCTTTAACCACAGTCTGAGGACAGATGGGAAATATACAAAAAATTCCACCACAAAAGAAGATTTCAAAGGTTTTTCAAAGGAAACATTTATTTGTACAAAAGTATCACTCAAGAACATAACTGCATGCCTCTGTTTAGTTTGGATTTCATGGTTTAAACATATAAGGAAGTAATAGTAACACAAGTCTGAGTTCACTGTCTGTTTTCAAATGCATTTCAGAAGCAGGAAAAGTCCTTATGTCTCCCTCCTGTTCCGCATCCTCAGGCCGCTCACCCCGACTTCCTTGGGTGTGTCTGCAGAGATTCGACCCTCCCCCTCCACGTTTGCTGACATTAAAATATTGCCTTCTATATCCTCCTCTGCTTCCTCCTCTGGATTTGAACTGTCATCACAGCTGAACTGCAGGCTCTCTGCCTCCATCACTGGGTCATCTTCATCAGCTTCCTCCTCTTCTTCCACTTCTGTGTCCTCGTCCTCCTCCTCCATCTGATCTTCCTTGTCCTCTTCCCCATCCTCGTAAGTGTCCTCTTTAGGGTAGTGGAAGACATCCTTGTGCTCGCTGAAGCTGATTTGCTTCTTCCCGCTATTGTTACACTGCAGCTCTTTCTTCGCCTCCAAACCAATTCTTGTTGTCGTTCTTTCAGGACCCGGCTGGGATGATGGAGGACGGAGCAACTGCCTTTTCTCTGCCTCCTCCTCATCATCCTCTTCCTCATCTATGTCTTCCTCTACTCCCATAGCTTCTTCTATTCCCTCCTCTTCTTCCTCTTCCTCTTCATCCTCTTCATCTTGTGCTTCTATGTCCTCCTCCTCCTCATCTTCTTCCTCTTCCTCTTCCTCTCGCACTATGGAAAGTTTCCTTGCCATAACCTCTTCCTCCTCTTGCTCCATCCTCTCTGCTAGGGCCTCAGCGGTGGGCTGTGTGGGGGGTTCCTCTAGTTTAACCGTCTTAAACCCACGTCTGAGGCAGGGTTCATCATACTCTGTGTAGGTCTCCTCTGGGTAACCTTCCCAGTCTGCACCGTATGGGACCTCCTCGGCCTCCATCTCTGGGGAGGCTCCCTCCAATCTGCTCTCTTGAATAAGCTGTGTGATCTGTCTCAGCTGCCTGAGTAATTTCTCCTCCTTTTTTGACGTGGTGGTGTTACTCCTCCTTCGTCTACCACTCCCAGAACTATTGTTCCTCCTGGACACAATCCTCTCCATCATCTCTTCAGGTTGGAGAAGTCTCTCCTGCAGCCTGGCAACCTCATTAGCAGTGATTGTGTCCTTGCTGGTTCCCATGGTTACTGCAGAGTTCTTCCCTGGTTTATTAGCCTTCCCCCTACATGTCAGCTTATGTATGATGTAAAGAAGGATCCCAAAGCCATATAAGGGTATCACTTGAGTCATCAGGTTGTACTTTTTTGCCTCGTCTTGTTTTTTAATTTTTTTATTTTCAGTTGTTACAGACGGGACAGACATGAGTGAGGGATAGGAAAGGGAGGAAGGAAAAGAAAAACAGAAGGGGAGAGGGACAGTGAGTAAGGGGGAGAAAAGAAATCTCCTGGATCACCTGTTGGGAGAAGAATAGAAAACAAGCAAAAAACAAAGCAACATACTAAACACAACACCATCGCATTATCTAGCTAAGTGTAAACAGCAGTAAATACTAAA